CAATCCTTTCCAGTTCTTCTTAGTTGTTATTCATCCTTTTTATATCTGCCTCAATTTCCCGGCGTACTATGTTCTTTAGCCTTCCGCTTCCCTTCAGGATTCCAAGTTGGGGCTTGCCTCGTGATGCAGCTTGGTAATTTCCTCAATGTATGTTTTATCCACTTCCAACATCTTTTCCTACTTTTCTCCTTAGTTGGATGTTGGTTTGTTCTCTGTCACAGTAGGCTGTTGCTGATAGTATCCGGCCAGTGAATGTTGAGTATTTTGCATAGACAACTGTTTATAAAAACTTGAATTTTTTTGATGGTGACTATCGTAGCTCTCCAAGTTTCAGCTCCGTACAGTAGGACTGTCTTGATGTTCGTATCGAAGATTCTCACCTTGATATTGGTTGACAGTTTTTTTGAGTTAAATATGCCTCTATAGTTCTCACATTTGCTCATATCTCCTTTCTTTGGTATCTGAATGAGGTATCCTTCTTTCTAGTCTTTTGGTACTTTTTCCTCCTCCCAAATCTTCTTGAATAAGAGGTGAAGCATTTTGCCATTACTTCGATGTCCGAATTCAGTGCTTCAGCTGGTATATTGTCAGTTCCTGCCTCCTTCCCACTTTTGATTTGTCTGATGGCCATCTTGACTTCTTCGATAGTTAGTGTAGTGACATCTATTGGTAGGTTTGTGTGTGTTGCTTCGATGTCCAGTGGATTACATGGCGCTGGTCTATTCAACAGTTGCTCGAAGTATTCTACTCATCTGTTCCTCTGTTCTTGAATCTTCGTGATAATCTTTCCTCGCTTGTCCTTGACAGGTGTATCTGGTTTACTATATATCTCCCTGCTAGTTTCTTCGTTGTGTCACATAGTTGTTTCATATTCCCTTCTCTTGCAGCTTTTTCCGCCATCGTTGCTAGTTCTCCCATGTATTTCTGCTTGTCGGCTTTAATGCTTTTCTTCACTTCCCTGTTTGCTTCTGCGTAGTCTGCTTGTGCTTTGACTTTCTCTGCTCGTGTTCGGCTGTTGTTAATTGCTAGTTTCTTATTCTTCTTTTGTTGAATTTTGTCCAGGGTTCCCAGAGAGATCCATTCCTTATGATGAAGCTCCTTACGACCAAGAACCTCCTGACACGTTGAAGTTAGGGCTTCTTTTATCCCTTTCCAGTTGTCCTCCAAAGTAGTTTCTTGTTCTTTCAGTAGATCCTGTAGAGCTTGGAACCTGTTGTTGAGAGTTATCTTGAATTCATGGAGCTTGTCAGTATCTCGAAGGAAGGCTGTATTGAACCTTTGTAGTGCTGTTTGTCCAGTTGTCCAGTGTTTATTTAGCTTCAGTCTCATCTTGGCCACAACCAGGTGGTGATCTGAAGCTCCTTCTCCGGGTTCTCCCATCTTCCATTGATCTTCGGAATTTTTTTTGATACAGATGTGATCTATCTGGTTCTCTGTGGTGTGGTCCGGTGAGACTCATGTAGCTTTGTGTATGCGTTTGTGTGGGAATATTGTGCCACCTATAACCAATTTGTTGAATGCACATAGGTTTGCAAGTCTCTCTCCATTTTCATTTCTTTCTCCTAATCCATGTCGTTCAATTACATCTTCATATCCTGTGTTGTCCACTCCAACTTTAGCATTTAGATCTCCCATCAGGATTGTGAGGTCATTTCGTGAGCACTTCTCTATAAGTGATTGCAGCCTTTCATAGAACTGATCTTTATCATCGTCGTTGCTATCATTAGTGGGTGCATAACATTGGATAATGTTCATTTTGATCCCTTGCTTCTTTGTTCTGAATGATGCTTTGATTATCCTGGGTCCATGAAATTCCCATCCCACAAGTGCATTTTGTGCTTCTTTGGACAGTATTGGAGCAACTCCCTGAGTGTGTGAAGCATTTTCGCCTTCGTGACCGGAGTACAGCAGCATCTCTCCTGTACCTAGCATTTGTTGTCCAGTTTGTGTCCAATGGGTTTCGCTGATTCCGAATACTGCCAAGTTGTATCTTCTCATTTCCATTGCTATTTGGCTGGTTTTTCCTGTCTCCCACATCGTCCGGACGTTCCATGTACCTATAAAGAGTGTTGCTCTGGTTGTTAGAAGGTGCATCGGTCTCGTGACTTCCGAAGAATTTCGGCTTTCATCATGAGACGTCATAATTATTCGTTCAACTCCCAGGGCAGAGTTTAAATGGTTTGAATTATTTTTTCTGGTTAGCGTTTTTTTAGCGAGTTAGCTTTTCTACGGGATGGGGTCACTAACCCCATGCCCAACCCTCCTCCTTTACCCGGGCTTGGGACCGGCAGTAACTCTAGAAGAGCTACAGGCGGAGTTGGACATATTAAACCCCACTACATTAATACTTCATCATAATCCGATGTGTACCCAAGGTTATAACGATAACAATCCATTGAGAAGTTGCGAAGCAGGCCAAGAAGATGCGCACAATTTTGGTAAATGTTTGTACTGTAAAAAATTTCACTCATTTAATTCATGTGTATTTCGTGATGCTAAATGCTCTAAATGTGGTAAAATTGGACACATTCGGGCAGTTTATAGTACTACTGTTCATTTCTCTGCAAGTAATACTAAACTTTGTAATTCCGATCATATTATGCTTAATTTATTAAATGAATTATACTCTGATCAGATTCATAATATTATTTTACCAGATATGCATTGTTCCTATGATTCACGTATTTCCAATGAAATTAGTTACAATTATATGGAAGATATATCGAGTGCACCAAATCCTGATCAGAACTCTGATGTTATTCTATCGGATGTGGTTTGTCCTAATAATTCATTAATTTCTAGTGCAATCAATTAAATATGAATAACAAGCTCTAAATGAGTTAAAATGTGATTACAGTCCTTATGTTGTCTCAAAAGATGTTATTTGTCTTCACGATGGATTTATCTCTAGTGGTGTCCCTGATGAATGTGATAAATATTTTCAGAATGAGTCGAATTCTAGACACATTTTCGATGTCATTGTATTAGATGTTGCGTATCCTTAGAACCAATGTATGGTGAATAGATTCCCTAGTCTGTGGTATGATGAATCAGAGGGAACAGCAAGTTTTTCCGAAGCAGTCAGAGAATCAATTTTCCTAGATATGAAGTTTGCACAGGCAGAAAATTCAAATCGAGTCCAAGATTATCTCAATGTGCATGAGGCAGATGAATATTTTCCATTTGATTGTTTCGTAGGTAAACCAAGCGTAGATAAATCACATATGTTAATTACACATATCAGTGCCTGATTATCTGATAACTGAAACAATGGCGTCGTGTGTTCTAACGTGAAAATTAAAAGCAATATGTATCATATTTTTTATGCAAGTCAAAGTCACATGATGGAATGCTTCAAATCATGTCAGTATGCAACCCCAAATACTTACATATATTAATCGAAGTGTGAGGTACGAGAAGACAATGCAAACTGGGACGTCAAATTATTTGTAGAATTGAGACATAAGGTCCCTACATTGTTTCGTGGGGGAAGATAGTGTGGGAAAATCTATGGTTCGAATTTTAGAAGTTAGTGGTTTCAGTACACGACCAACATGTTGATCATATACGATTCTAGGTGAGTCTGTTCTATTTTCAATTGTTAACTCTAATGCTAATGAGCATACTCTAGATCACACAGAGTCTATATACAATACATAGTCTGATACACACATATTAGAAGACATACAATCGACTAAAGGAATATAGATTTTAATTTAAGCTGTGGTGGTTGTTGTGTTTATATGGACTGATGGTTCCTTTGTTCTTGATGATTGTCTGGTTTCAAGTTCCAAATTCAATACATTAGTTTATGCTTATCTAGTTCTCTTTGGTCTAAATTGCGTTAGTCTGGGATTCCTAGTTGATATATTAATTCAAATACTTTTATTCATCACAGAAACTTATTTGGTAGGCTCATCGGTTCAGTTGTTAAGAGTTGGGATACTCTTATTCCGAATAAATGAAGCTTATTAACTGTTGTGCTACTAAAAATCACTAGGTTTATGAATATTTTGATAGCCAATAAATAACAACAGGAAGCGACCGTTGCAACGGTTTCGCATTTAAATTTTTATAATACTATGTGATAATTAGTCTAGGGAACGGTTATCAACTTTTATTTCAATCCAAGAATAGTTTTGCTATTCAATCACAAATTTTATGACTATTCGGGATACAAGCATCAATTTCATATCTGGACTTATGAACATCGTCTTGCATAGTCAGTATATAATGATAATAGGCTTTACAAGTGTAATGTACTAACAAGCCACGTCCACAGGAAACATAAATTGTTTATGAAATACACACAGTCAGTCTTCAATCTTCGATTTGTATTAATTGTGTATTCTGCTACCCAAACTAGTTGTAGACTGCCTTGTATAGTTTCACTTCAGGTCTCACAAGTATTCTGAACTACCATGGTTTCAGCTTTCTGAGACGTTCTGCCTTTGGCTATCAACCGAAGCAAGTCCCATGAGAAGCTGTAATGCTTATTGCTTTTAAGGAGTAGCATTTATTATTTAGTGGTAACCATAATAACACTAATTCAGCCTTGAATTTTAGGGAAAAAAATCCACACCAAACATTATTTATACTCTAAAAATCGATCTCTTACAAACAACTGAAACCATAAAGGTAGATATTAATTAACCTGATGTTTGTCGATTTAAAAAGTTTATACAATTTACTAATTTAACATGATATAATTAGTTTTTTTCTACTATTCTCAAAATCACAAGGGGGTTTTGTGAAGATTTTAGCACTGGACGGTCGTCCAGTGCTTTCAGGTTTTCCTTGGTGGTCTAGCTTCAATTGACTCATAATCTTAACTATATAATATTCTCAAAATATTTTGATGCATTTAGCTTTTATGCTAATTGTCTGTCATTCATCATGTAAGTCATATTTACAATCCTACTAATGCATTTGAAATATACCATAAGATTCTGATATATATTATTCAATAGAATAGTAAAACAAAAAGCTAAATAACTTACCTTCAATGGAATAACAAGTTTAATATCTGCTTTCATAATTAAGCATATAGTATTATTATATTTAACATAATATATTTTTGGTATTTTTCCTTCATTCTCTGGTGTATCAAAAGGATTAGATGTAGTTTTTTCTGTATTTTTATTTTCTGAATAAAACCAAGATGATTGAATAGTTGTCATATTGTCAACTAGATAATAATTATATTCTATTATAAAAGTAGCTTACATAGGATAACGACTAAACAAAGTAAATATCCATGGTAATAAAAATGATGATTTTGTATCATAAAATGGTAAACTAATGAAGTTGAATTAAGGACTGACTTTTATTTTAATCTTATTAATAAGAAGGATTTATTTAGTAAACAAGATTGTTGAGATTTGATTAAGTTACTAATATGTGATTGGTTAATAATGAAGTCTATATAATGTTAGACGTCAGTCATTTGAAATTCTAACATTATAATATATGACAATTAAATTGATCTGACTACGTAATTGTTTTTAAAAAAGAAATATGCGATAAATCTTTTTGTCTCAAAAAAGTATACAGTTTAATGTATTTACTTGAATGATAGATTCTCTTATGGTTAAATTGTTATTCGTCGTTTATACTATTCATTATGTGATTCTTTCTAAGGAAATTTTATGATGAAACTATAGCAACCAATTAAGATAATTCTCAACAACTGGTTCCAAGCTCTACAGGATCTACTGAAAGAACAAGAAACTACTTTGGAGGACAACTGGAAAGGGATAAAAGAAGCCCTAACTTCAACGTGTCAGGAGGTTCTTGGTCGTAAGGAGCTTCATCATAAGGAATGGATCTCTCTGGGAACCCTGGACAAAATTCAACAAAAGAAGAATAAGAAACTAGCAATTAACAACAGCCGAACACGAGCAGAGAAAGTCAAAGCACAAGCAGACTACGCAGAAGCAAACAGGGAAGTGAAGAAAAGCATTAAAGCCGACAAGCAGAAATACATGGGAGAACTAGCAACGATGGCGGAAAAAGCTGCAAGAGAAGGGAATATGAAACAACTATGTGACACAACGAAGAAACTAGCAGGGAGATATATAGTAAACCAGATACACCTGTCAAGGACAAGCGAGGAAAGATTATCACGAAGATTCAAGAACAGAGGAACAGATGAGTAGAATACTTCGAGCAACTGTTGAATAGACCAGCGCCATGTAATCCACTGGACATCGAAGCAACACACACAAACCTACCAATAGATGTCACTACACTAACTATCGAAGAAGTCAAGATGGCCATCAGACAAATCAAAAGTGGGAAGGAGGCAGGAACTGACAATATACCAGCTGAAGCACTGAATTCAGACATCGAAGTAATAGCAAACATGTGTGGGGAGTAGTGTAACGTCGTGTACTATATTACACCTACATAGCTTATTCTAGTTTCTGGACAAGCCAATTCACCTATAACGTTATGAGTCATATTTTGATCATATTAATTATTCCCTTATTGACCTTGACTATTTTTTTTATATGAGCGTATGTGTATGTACACTTCTTATCCTACCTATCACATGTCTGTCATTCATTTTAGCCTGACTATAAATGTTGATTAATGCTTGCTTATAACGAGTTGGCTTCCCAGCCACTCTGCGTCATCTTTCCCTCGCTTGCTTACATTTGCTAATGTGCTCACTGCCTTCTAGCCCAAGTTAGTTATCAATAAAAATGTAGTTGCTGCTTCCCTTTGTCTTCTGATATTATACACCGTTCAGATTGTTATAATAACGGTTATCAAGACGATCGATTAACGAAGCACTACACTACACATGCTTCATCTCTTATTCAAGAAGATTTGGGAGGAGGAACAAGTACCAAAAGACTGGAAAGAAGGATACCTCAATCAGATACCAAAGAAAGGAGATATGAGCAAATGTGAGAACTATAGAGGCATCAATTTGTTGTCAGTACCAGTAAAAGTCTCCAACAGAGTGTTGCTGAACCTCAACATACCCGAAGGAAAAAGTAAAATCCTCAAATACAACACGGAGAGCGCCAAGCAAATAACATGTGATGGCGAAACTCTGGAAGAGGTGGAAACATCCACATACCTGGGAAGCATCATTGGTGGACAAGGAGGATCCTATGCAGATATAAAGGCGAGGATTGGCAAATCAAGAACCGCATTACTACAATTGAAGAATAAATGGAACTCAAAAAAACTGTCAACCAATATCAAGGTGAGAATCTTCGATACGAACGTCAAGACAGTCCTACTGTACGGAGCTGAAACTTGGAGAGCTACGATAGTCACCATCAAAAAAATTCAAGTTTTTATAAACAGTTGTCTATGCAAAATACTCAACATTCACTGGCCGGATACTATCAGCAACAGCCTACTGTGACAGAGAACAAACCAACATCCAACTAAGGAGAAAAGTAGGAAAAGATGTTGGAAGTGGATAAAACATACATTGAGGAAATTACCAAGCTGCATCACGAGGCAAGCCCCAACTTGGAATCCTGAAGGGAAGCGGAAGGCTAAAGAACATAGTACGCCGGGAAATTGAGGCAGATATAAAAAGGATGAATAACAACTAAGAAGAACTGGAAAGGATTGCTCAGGACAGGGTTGGATGGAGAATGCTGGTGGGTGGCCTATGCTCCTCCATAAGGGGTAACAAGCGTAAGGAAGTAATGTATTTTGTGTTTTAACCTTTCAAAGTCACTCACGTATGGATGCTACTTACATGTGCTATGTGTGACTGCTCTGTTCAGCTGAAATCAGTAATTTCAACACTCCCTACATCCTATTCCAAAGTCTTCTCAGATGCATATTCTTCAGATAACTCACCTGATTATTCCATTGTTAATAGAATATAGTATTAAGTATTTTACTCTCGGAATTGTAACAGTTAGTTCACCAAATTTGTGCGAATCTAATCAATGTAGATTTTATTTTGTGATACGAGCCTATCATAACATGTTAGAAAATTGTACTTTGATTACTTCCGTTACAAATATCGAGTTTGTTATCGTGTTGAATAATCCACATTTTGTCACTCATAAAATTGCAAATCAATCAATCAATTCGAATCGATTGATATTTGGTGTGATTGATTGTGGTTAGCTACCTAATTCTATTTTTATACGGAGTAATCAATGAGAGACTATGAAGAAACATTTGTTTTTTCATTCTTTGTGATTCTCGTGATTGCAACCAGGTTGTTTATTATTTGACATGATTGGTATTAAATACAGTTGTGTATTCTGATTTTGAAGGTGTTTATTACACAGTTGGCTGTGTTTTTTTTCTTATTTGAAGGAATTAAGCGTAATGTATACTATAATTGTATGAATGAGTTAAACTTTTCTAAAAAATAGTCACAAATTATTGATATCGACTAGTGACAGCAGAAATATTTTAAGAAGTCACATGTAAACACGTTTTTCTTTATGATGCATTACTAAATTGTAATTGTGTTGTATGCAGTCGTCAGTCAGTCACAACGTAGAACTTCGTACGTACGTACATCAGTTCGAGTTGCCATACCACATTAACACAGAGATACAGTTGTCCATTGAAATCCTATAGTGATAGAAGCAGTAAGAGTATAATCAGTAATCAGAAAGAATAGGGTTCGAAGATGTTATTGAAGGAGTATAATACAGTGAAGTAAATTTGAAAAGAAAAAAAGGATAGAGACATGAAGAATTCAGATTAGAATTTGGTAGAACACAAAGAGTGGATGCACTTTCGCCATTGCAATCGATTTTGAGCCATGTCATTCAAGGTCTCTAACCATCGTTTGCTATCGCCTCGCTGATCCCAACCAGGTAGTCTACACCTGCTAATATGGCTCAGTCCAATTGTCAGAGACTTTATGGATTTGTGCCACGTTTTGGTCTGGCCACCCCTACCTTCATTTCAACCTACTCTTACGCCATAAAACATTGCACGCCGGTGGTTGGTCATACGTAACACGTGCCCCAGCCATCTCAACTGATGAAGTTTCACTACTTCATCAATCAATTTGCCATCCTTACCTAGTACCTGTTTCTTAACGACTATATGCAGTTGACAAAATACCAGAATTGTTCACTATGATAGAAATGTCTACGGTTTGAAAATTTCTTAATTTATTTGGCAGTGAGGATAGACTTATCTTAGCATATGTGTGAACTAAATCGCGCTTCTCAATGTATAAAATGTAATTCTGCACATTTGTAATGAATGAAACACATAGTGTTGGAACGGCTGTTTGATTATCGAAATCTTCCTTGTAGTAATTGGATAAATCCATTTTCAACTTTTGTCTAATTTTGATACAATTAATGTAATTTTTCAATGTTTTGTTGGTTGTAGTCATGTTGACGCTGAGGTGCAGCGGAAACAAGCACAACCTTAGTACGATCATATCTACTCTTTTATTTTCAGCGATTTAATCAATTGTTTACTTCAGAGTAAGTAACAGCTAGGTATTCCAGATCAGTTAAACACATATGTTCGTTTATTGCATTTAGGAACGAAATCACCAGACTCCTGTGATTATGTTAGCGGTCTGACTGGATATTTTTACCAGCAGCACGTGGAGTAGTTCATTTTCTTCATTAGTGGTAATCATATTCACACTATAATTCTATGGTCGCACAATGGTTATCTGGAATCATTGACGACGGGTATCACGATCTTAATGCACTCACTGAAGTTGGATATTGATTATATAAGTTATTTTATCGTCTCGTGTGCCAATGCTAGAATCAGGTTTTAAAGGCAGTCTGTTATATCGTATGAGTGCGCGCGTGCCCAGTTAATATACGAACGTGCTGATTACCGCCAATGAGAGAGCAGTGTATTTATTGATCGTCCAATGATACACAAAACCGTATGAGCTGTCTTGAGTACTACTCGGTCCTGCTATCAGCCTAGCCTAACCAGTTAAGTCCAGAACACCAATAACAGCCTCTGCAATATGAATCATTATTCTCAAACATACTGGGTTTATATTCCAAACCAACTCACCACATCGTACCATAAAATAGAAAACAACATGTGT